TTGTGTCATTCTAGGAATAGAGAGGATTCTACCATGTTATAGTGGCCACATGTCCTCCTAATGGAGAGTCTTTTTCCTTGGTTTTCAAGCCAACCAAGTTGAAGATTTTAGGTTTTGCTTCTACGATTTGGAGACACCTTAAGCCTATAAATAGACTTTCTCTCCCATGTAAATTAACTTTGAGTTTTGTAATGAAATGTTGTCAAATTATTGAGTCATTATTATAACTTGTCTCTAAGTCATGGCTAGAACATCTTATTGGTCACCTCTAACCACCTTCTTAGAGAGTTGACTTAACCTCTCTTAAGAACACTAAACATCACCTTTCTCACACTTCTAACATCCAAACTAGAGCATTCCCACTCTGAACACTCACCTTCATGGTCATCTTCATGCTTTAGATCATCCTATAACTTGAGGAGGAGATTATCAAGTAATGAAACAACATAATTTTGGTCAGAAAAGATTTTCATCTAAGTCTACCATCACGAGAAAAAGAGTTATAGTAAGTAAAAAGAGACACAAATAGTGCTATAAAAAAAAAGAGAAACTCAAAAAGCATTAAATGTAAATAATCTTATATTTAATCTCTTAAAAAGGATATTTGTTAATTATAAGGATAACTTTATATTATTTCCTTTAACATTAATAGTAATATATTAGAGATTATCGGTTAAAATATGAAGTGTTAACTTAGTTGAAATGTTAATATTACTTTAACACTTCTATACATAAAACCTTTACATAATCAAATAGGTTTGGTAAGATGGAGATTTTCACAAATTTTTCTATCTTGTTGAACCTGATCCCTCAACTAAACAAATTAGTATGAGACATTTTTTAAAAGATTCATAAATTATTTATGTTTAAAATTTTATCATATAATTTTTTAAGATTTTAATATTTTTAGGAATTAAAAATATTTAAATTGGTACTGTTGATTTATTTTTATAAATTTATTTTCTCTAATATTAATAAAACAATCAATATCCAAATGAAAGTTAGACTAAATTTTTATATATTTTAAATAAAATTGTTTTTTCAAAAACTTATTTTATAAAAAATATAATTTTCTCCATTTTTATTCGTATTTAATTGTTGGTGATGTCTTATACATGAAATTAAAAATACTGATGTTTGTGTATTAATTTTTTTTTAATATAATTTAAAACTTCAAAATCAATATTTATAAGTTTATTTTGAAGATATAACATAAGAATAACACATAAAAACCCGATAAAAAAAATCCAAATTCGTTTTTCAATCTGAATTTCATTGACAAGTCAGTCGAGAGATTTACGCAGCATACTAAGAAAGGACGTTGAGCTTCCCACTTAGACTTTGGTCCAAGGGTATTGGACCAAGTTGAAGCCCAATGCTACAACAATGGCCCATTAAAAAGTCCACTTATCTGTTATTGGGTTTTTAGCCCAAGGATACAAACCACGTTGAATTCGAATATCTGCATGCAGGAACATGACAATAAATTAAAGGCACATACTTGATGCAATTTAAAAATATAACCATAGATAAAAAATAAAAAATAAAAAATCAAACAAGCTGCTATTTTTAGAATTTGATTAATTTTAAATTCATTTTTAGCTCATTTTTGAAGTTAATGTCCACGCTATTTTAAAAATACTGCTGATTTGGGTTTGATTACTTTTAAAGAAATACTTATTTTTCTAATTTCCCTATAAACTAGACAACGGTCATTTCGTAAAATAAGTTGAAGCAAAACAGCAAATACTCACTAAAAAAGTTGGTGTATGTGTACCTTTGATTTAGGAAAATAAGGGAAAGAAAAATAATACATGCTTCTAAAGTTATTTCACAAAAAACAAATTACATAAAAAAGAAATGAATAGAAAGAAACACAAAATACCAATGACACCAAAAACTTATTTTTTTTTTCTTTAACTTTTGTACTTTTCTTTTACAAACACCACATTAAACCTTCTATATATCCTCCTATTTTACAAGATAAATGAAACCGTATATATATATATATATATATATATATATATATTCATCCCTCCTAATTCTTTGCTTGCTACTTGAAATTTGTGTACATAAAAGGATAAAGTTTCAAGGAAATTGAATAAAACCAAATATATTTGTTGGATCTAAACCATTCACAAAAAAAGAATCCCAAACACTTAATAAATGTAATAAATTTTTGTCTTTAAATAGCACAATGAATCAATAATTGAATTCTCACGGTAATCTATACATGGTGGCCAAATTGAGTACATAAAGCCAAACCATTGAAAGTGTACTAAAAATGGAAAAATCAAAGTACCTTTCTTTTTATGATACATATGGTTTTGAGAAAGGATTGCTGCATAGAAACACACCAAACACTCAACTTTTAGTACACAACTATTCCGACATTTTCCTTGTTGGTTCCCTCGGATACAACATTGTTTCAAAACCATAGAACAGAACATATATATATAGAGTGCTATGAGCTACTCGCAAAATCACCATATTTTTTTCTTCCTTTCTCTTTTTATTCTATTTTCGGAAATTGATGAATTTTAAAAGTTTAATTTGAATGATAATTTTAATTTCCATCGGTGAACAAAATTAGTATGCAAGTCAAATTGACTAGTTTTCTTGCCATGACAAGTTAGTAACCCATGCATTTGAAGAATTTATTAAGTTTTTATCAGTTTATATGTATTTATTAATAAGGAGAAACAACAATTTGAAGTTACTATTTTTAAAAATCTCAAATTTAAAGCAGTGCAGATCTTTCTCCTCTCCATATTTTAAAAGACAGTTTTTTTTTAAAGAATATAATATAAGAAAGAAAAAGTATGAAAATGCAAGTTGCTGAATTATTGCATATGTTAGTAACTCTTTCATAAAGGAAAAAATATATCTAGTGATAATAGACAAAGAAGAAGTAAAATCACCAAAAAAGGATTACAATATAAAACTTAAAATAAAATAAATTTTCTTTCCAGAAACACTAAAGAAAATAAATTATTTTAAAGATTTATGGATTGTTCTTATCAGATTTCATGGAAATGTGATTAAAATAAAGTATGAGACTCTCAATAATCGTATAAGAAAGTATGAAAATTTCAAAAGTCCAACAATGGTTACTTTCTAATAAGAAATTTCCAATTTAAAAAAAAAAACATAAAATAAATTGACTAGCAGTATCTATAAAACACTGATATCTTAGAAAAATTTCTAATAAGAAAGGTGTAAGAAGAAATTTGAACAAAAAACTTAAAAAACATAAAGAAAGCTTATAATCTTTGTTGATCTTAAACGAATGGGTTTGATTCGATGTCTCTCTTTGAATTTAAATGTTAAAGATAAAGAAGATAAAGAAGAATAAGAACAGTATGCTCCTTATCTGATAACTGTTTGTATAAAAATTCTTGATATCTAAATGCAAAGTATGTATGGGAAGGACAAAAGGTTTTATGGTTCATTTTACTTTTGTTCAACAGTGACCAAATGACAAGTTACTCCCTATAAAGTAAGATTTTAATGGACATGAAGTATGGACATATATGAAGCAACCCATAACATAAGATATTATATTATACTATACATTGGAACATCATGGTCTTTCTTTGGATCTTAGGTGTGGGCGTGTAATGTTCGAAAAGGACAACATATGCAAAAAACTGATGCACAGACTTCTCTTTAGAGTGTTCATTTTCCACATAACTTATGCCAGATTCATTTCTAGAGATTTCGGACATCCCTAAACTTTATATAGTTTGATTTTACATTTAATTTTGCATTGTTTTTTATTATGATTACATATGTTGTTTATCTTTCTTACACCAGATTCAATGTCTTTCAATCAAACTACATATATCATCTTTTCAATTATGAGTGGAAGTTTCAGTAAGAATATTAATAAAGTCTACACCTGTGAAAGACTAGTATAATATCAAACAGAGATTTATGAGAGAATAATAAATAAAAAACAATTATTATTATTTGAAATTTGAAATTTGACTAGTTCAATGGCTTACGAAACAATATACTCAATAATCTTTACTATAAAAAATATTAATAATTCTAATATTACGTAGAAAATGAATTTTAAATTTAATCCAACCTTAAAAAATTTGTTCGTGACTTAAAAGTTTACATAAATTACATGAGATAGTTTAGTCCTATTTTTAAGGATTTTCAACTATTAAGGATATAATCATGTTAAAATTTTATAATTAAATGAACATTTACCTCTTAAAAAAATATGATGTTTTTATGTTAAGGAATTGAATAAAAATGATAACGATTAAAAGAGTGTGTGACATAATACTAGTATAAAGTTTTTGTAGATTTATTTTGTTAATGCTAAAATTCTATTAGTACTTTGTGTTGTTGTAACCCAAATAATAAACAGAAATATAACTCAAAGTATATTTATTAGACTTCATATTTAAGTGATTATTTGTTAAAAATATTAATTTATAAAATATCTAGTTTATTTTTTAAATATACCGAATAAAAGTAAATTTAATATAATTTTGTATTACGGGTAAAACTCATTTAACATTGAAGCATTATCACATAAGATGGTATTGTAAATTGACACAGACATTGCCTTAATTAAACAAGCTACATTGTAAAAAAATTGTTGATAAAAATAAAGTCAGGGCGAAGTCTTGTCCAGATAAGCTTTTCTTTCTGTAGAAAGAAAATAATACATTCTTTATAATAAGATAAAAATTAACCCAAAAGAAGTAACAGAAAAGACAAAAGAAAATTTTGACAGATAGAACTAGTTAATCCGTAAATTAGTTTATAAAAATTGAAGCCTTATCTGGAAGTGAAAGTTAATACCTATGTTAGATGCTAAAATATGCAGAGTAGTACAAGCCTGTGAAACCAAAAGATTTTGCAAGATCTTAGAGTGAAAGGGACAGAAGCAAGGCAACCACAAGCGAGTGGTCCACATTCCACAAACGCCAATTCATTACCAAACAAACTTACTTTAAAGGAAGAACAACAAAACCCACTTCAAACTTCAAAACCAGGAATCAGAATTCTCTATTCCATTTAAGACCATCACAAAACTTGTGTTGTTTGCATTAACTTTTTCTAAGTGCATGTGCTCTCTCCTACCGATTACTCATATCATTTCAAACTATATATACTACTATAGTCATGCAAAATCATGGTCTCAACTTCACCCCAAAACCTATCCATCATCATCTTCTTAAAAAACAACCAAGTCCACACACTCCAACCAACATCACTTACAGTTGAATACAAACTTTGCCAAAATGCATGAATAGAAAGAAACAAATTAAAGTCAAGCAAACCAAAAACCTACCTACACATCCAAATTATGATGAGGGCAAGGTATTAATAAACAAGAACACATATTTCCAAATTCTAAGATTACCATATGTATTTATATATTATAATACTATATAAACTTCATTAATGATTAAAGTCAAAAGAACAAAGTTCTTTTCTTTTCTTCTCCTTCCTCTTCTTCTTCTTCTTCTTCTTCTCCCTTCCATCATGCCTTCTTAAAGTTGTTGTGGTTGTGGTTCACAAGGCATTGCACAGTGTGGTGGCACTGGCACCTTCTTTGATGTTGTTGTTCTCTGCCCTTGGACTGCTTCCAGCACTGCTATTGGAAAGTGATCCAAATGCTGTTTTTTGCAACACCCCATTTGGAGACGACCCTAGTGGAGGACTATTGTCCCACCCATCTTTCATGAGGTTGAGAGCAGAAGTGTTCTTGCCACAGTGATCACTTCCATTGCTGTTGTTATTAGTACTACTCAGGTTCAAAACCTCACCAAGAGGGCCACCCATAGAACTTTCCCAAGTGATTGGAATCCAATTGGCTTGCCTGGTGTTTGACTCATTGGGAGCACCACTTCCCACTCCCAACCCCATTTGAATAGGGTCTATCTCCCTTGAAAGCCTTAGTGGTGACAGTGTGAGTTTCTCATTAGAGGGTGAGGAGGTAGTGAATGACATGAAATCTGAGGAAGATATCGGTATGGAGATCGACAACTGAGTCCTATCTGACTGCATGTTGTCAAGTTCAGGCCAAACAGAAGAACGGTGATGGTGATGGTGAGACTGTGGTTTTGGAGAGTCATCGATGAAGTGCCTGAGAGAATGTTGTTGTTGGGACTCAGAATCATCCTTTTGTGAAGATGATGAACCAAAGCTTCTCTTCTGTGAAGGGTTGAGCAAGGAATCAGAAGTGACAAGCCCAAACTCATTGTTGTTCCTTGAGGAAGATTCATCATATGGGAGTTGGTGTTTATGAATCATGAAAGGGTCCTTTGGTTTCAGCTCAAGAGTTGGAGGCACCATGGGAAGCGCAGGGCCATCCTGCATCCTCTCACTAGCGTTGTTACTGTTCTCTTTGCTACTCATAAACATCCTGCATGCAAAGGAAAAACGCACCAAAAGAAACTCCATAAAGAATCAAAAGCAATCTTTAAAACACACATAAAGTAACAAAATTTGAACCATCTTTTTTTTCCTCTCCCTAACACGAATCTCAACTCAACCACTATTTAAATGACCAGTCCCTTTCTGCCCAAAAGGATGATGGAATACTAGATTCTTTGATTCTATTTTGTGCAAAGTCCTAAAGCCCTACACACCAAGCAAAAATATATTACATAGATCTGCACACACTACCTAAACAAACCACAACGAGGAAACTCTTACTTTAGTCCTCAAGTTCCAACTTTAAAATTTCCTTCACTTTACCCATCCCTTTAGGAAAATACCAATCCCCCATGTTGGAAAACACAGTAGAAAAGCACTAAAATGAATGACAGATATACAAAACTTGGGGCCAAATTTAGAATCTTATAAATCTAAGTACTAAAGTGACTTATATCAGAACTGCAGTCAAACTTTCAATATCCCCACAATATGTTCCCATAAATTGGAAGAGTATTTGAAAATATTTTCTAGGACCACACTCAAATTGAGCTTTGAATGCACTGATAGAGTAAAGGACTCTAACACAGTTATTCAATCATACACATGAGAAGTTTGTAAGCTTTTACAGCAACCACCTTAAAAGTCATACATAACAAGATTTCTGATTAGTTGAATGTAAATGACAATGCATGAAAAATAAACTGTGATTATTAGTCATAGTTGGTGAGTGACTGACCTATTGATGGTGTTGGCTGGAGAGGAATGAGATGGAAGAGGGTGGTGCACATTGTTGTGTGCAAAGGTGTTGTTGTTGTTGCCGCCGGGCACCACAATGGAGTTTGAGGAAGCATTAGGAGGAGTAGTGGTGGTTGTTGTGGTGGTAGTGGTGGTGAGGGCATGGCCTGATTGGCCTTCCACAGGCTTTCTTGAACGATGGCGTCCTCTGTTCATGTGCCGCTCGCAATACTTCTGATCAACTACGGCATCTCTCGAGCACCGCCATTTCTTCCCATCTGTTCTCCTACACCTCCCTGGCTCAGGGTCTGTGTTGTTCGAGAATCCCAGATGGAAACCTCCCCATCCCACTGCCACACAAAACAACAACATCATCATCATCATAATCATCAACACACCAGACAAATATATCCCAGATGAACTCATACTGTTATATTCAATCAAAAACCTCTGTTAAGTTTAACTTTCACAATAATCAACTTACATACAAGTCATACTCACTCACATAGATGAATTGTGTCTGGATAAGAGCATAAATCTGTTTTACATTATCATCACTATTATACTCGTGAATTTATTCAACAATTCTTACTTTGGTTGCTCATATTAAGACAGTATGAGTTTTCTGATTAAACAATCTATCCCTGATTAAATAACACAACCAGAATATTCAAAGAAAAGTATGAGTTTTGTGATTCTTTTATACAGTGTCTTCATAAACATAACTACAATACATTAAATCAGTCCTTTAAATCATACTAAAATAGACCAAAGTTATCTGATTCTTTTTGTTTTATGGGTAGTAAAAAGTGTTACATTACATACATGTGTTGGGTCTCAGGAGGCCGCTTGAAAAGTTGCAGAAGGCAGCAGAATCGAGTGCTTTTCTGATGGGTATGAGAAGATGAGTTGGTACAGGCACGTTTGCTGTGATGTACTTGTAGATCAAAGCTTGGTGTTCAAGTTCCATCCACTGTGAAGGCGTGAATGGCCCTCTCACACCAGCCAAAGCCCCATGCATGCTTATGCTTCCCGAACTGTAACCTGCGAACACATATAAACACACATAAGGTCAAAAAAACATGCGAACACTGTCGAAATTGACCACTTTAAAAAAACAGAACACACAAAAAAAAAGTCACTTCCTATCTCAAAAGAAAACAGCCAAAAGAGAGGTGGTAGAAGTTCAATTAATGGCGTGAAACCTTCAATGATTTGATTTTCTTTACCTCCTTTGATTTCAAAAAAAAAAAAACAGTCAAGTCAACCTTTATTTTTCGTGTGAGGAAGACATGAAAAGTGGAACAGAGATATTTTTTTAGGGAAAGAGACTATACTATTTGGCACGACCAATCAAATTTTGGACTTTATTTTTTTTCATATAAGGCTCTTCATATGTTTTTCTCATTTGGTACCCTCTAGTTTACCGTGCAAATTTTTTACCAAAATCCCTCTTCCTAAAACGGGAAGAAGTGGAAGATTTCACATCTAGGGAGGAATTTTTGTTTTACTTTCTTGTGACATGACTCACAAACAGAGACCACTCATGTATTTCCATGAAAAGACCCTCCACCGGTACTGTAGAATCAGACCGTAACAACCCACATAATATTTTGGCTCCCCACAAGGGATACCATATTCCAAATCCAAATCCAAACACACCCTTTGAAAAAGAACACTCCTTTATTAATTAACAATTAATGATTATTATTTTCCTGAGATAAACCCCATAATCAAGTAGTACCTGTATTTCTGCTGTAACTAGACAATTGGTGGTAAGAAAAAGGCAATGTGGCATTTAAGGAGGCCTTGTCCACCATCAAAGGCTCTGATTTTGGTGAAGAGAAACTCAGCATTTGTGGTTGGTTGTGGCCCTCAGAGAAAAGGGTGACATTAGATCTCAGCAGAGAGTTTCTCTGATGAAAGAGCATTGCTTTGGATGCAGCAGACATGTTGTCATCAGTTTTAGGCACTTTTGAAGTCCTCCACTCATCTTCACTTGCTGTGCCAGATCTCTCTTGCTTGAGCACCCCAGATCCGTACCACTTGTGTTTTGTCTCAGGATCTGAAGCAAGAGAAGAACCAAAGGCGCAACTGCTGTCTGAACCCACCAACCCCTCCAAACCCACCACCCCAAGATCCATCAAGACAAAGAAAGAACCAAAAACAAATACAAAAAAATAGCACACAGATAACTAAAACTAGACACTGATAATAGCATTAACAACACTAGGCTTCAAGGAACAAGGGAAGTGTTGGTGATGGGGCATCTCTTCCTCAGAGGTTGTGGACAACAACAAGGAGTAGAGTACACAAGTTGTTGCTGCTCCCTTTGGAAAAGTAAGGCACATCTCATGTGGGTGGAGAGAGAAATTGAAGAAGAGAGAGAGAAAGAGAGAGGTGACTGTGGAAGAGGGATGAAGTAGAAATAGAAGATATGCTTGACACCTTAAAGCTAAGCTAAGCTGAATCTGGAAACCGGAAACCAGACTGGTTTTGTTTTTTTGGGAGTTGATGTCTTGGCAAAGATAAAATAATTGGAGAGATAGAGAGAAACTGGTGGGGAGCAAGAAACTGACTCGACATGGTTTACAAAAATATCATCATTTTCTCTTTCTCTTGCAAAATCACATTTTTCTTCTACTCAAGACAATCTTAATCAACTCAAAAACATCATCTTAAGTGTCAAAATTTTCTTTTGAAAACAGTTAAACTACCTAAATGACACCTGAAGTTATTAATCTTATATTTCACTCTGAACAAAGTTATGATAAATACTAAACAAAACAAAAACTTTATTCTTACATACGAACTTATTCTTAATTTTATTCTCGTATACCAACTGTCACGGGATTCCTCAGGTCTAATAAGTATTTTCAAGTTTAGATTTTGTTAAATATTTAACACTAAAAATAATTTGTGGCAACTACATTTACAAGATACTCTCAAGTTCAGATAGTATTTAATACACAAAAATTTGACTGGTATAATTGTCTTACTTGCTTCTTCTGTTAGAGTATTTCTTACTAAAGATTTTTTGGATTTTCAAAAAAGGATTTGTAGGACATACTAATCCAACAATCGTGTATTTGTATGGTACCATATACCAAATTTGATGACAAAATAATTGAGTATATATATATATATTTATTTACTTATTTATGATGATATCTATTGTTTTTTATATTGTTGTAAGATAATATTTAATGTTATTATTATAATATGGTATACTGGTTTTGTTTTGAGTCACGGTCTACTCTACTCTACTCTAGACTGTCCTGGGAGAGGGCATTTATGGAAACCTACACAGCAAACCATGGGATGTAGCTGTACTGAGAAGGATGTGAGTGTCTTTTTATGTGAACATGTTTGGTTCCACAACCTTTGTTGTTCTTTTCCATCTCACTAATCTAAACCCCAAGTTCTTCTTTCTTTTGATAAACTTTGCACAACAATGTGTTATTTTCAGCACCTCATTACCTAGTAAAACCACTCAATGTGAACATGTTGAAGTCTACAACTGTTGAAAGCAATAGGGCTATTACCATAAGATGAAAGGATAATAGTAATTAATGTTGGATGGGAATGGACATAAAAGAAGAAGAGAGAGAGAGAAAGAGTGTAGTTATTAGTTTTATAAGCAACAATTATGGTTCTGGTTTGGCTTGCAATGTGCCTCACTTTTCTTTAAGTTAAAAGGGTAATAAAGCAAACAGGTGGTGGGTTGCATGAACAAAGATGCATTGGCACGTGACAGTGTGACACAATCCTCACTCAGAAAATTCTACCTCATCTCTGTCTTATTCTTCTTTCAATCCTCACTCTCTTCTTTTGCCCATGTCCATATATACCATCAGATATTTCTATATTTCATGCTCATTCTTTCTCTTCCTAAGCATAAAAAAATTGTTAAAAAAGTAATTTTTCAACCCTAATTCAAAGTCAAAATTACACCCATTTATATATATTGTAATATTTTTAATCATTTTTGAACTAAATTTGTAATATGAGTAATAAATAAATAAATAAATAAGAGGGTATTAGGTGTGCATGTGTAGAGTGGATCTATGAATATATCTCTTTTCATTGGGCAATGACATAACTTGAGTTCAAAGGTAAACACATGCATAGCTAGTGTTCCCACCATTGCTATATAATAATATAGTGATAGATCACAGTTTTGTTCTGCTTTTAAGGAGAGCAAAAGATACTTGTTCCATCTTTATTCCTTCAAAAACCTAAGTTTTAATTTGGGTTTCAAATTTTAATGAACATTTGTTCATACATGTTTGGTAAAAAACATTGAGAGAGAGAAGGTTTTGCAGTTTACTGTAATAGAATCATTTATCTCTTGTAAATAACACTTCTGATCTGTATAAAAAATAAAACTTAAATGTGTGGTGTGATTGTTTTAAATATCAACATCATATAATCATTTAAAAACACTTTTTTTTTCAAATTCAAATTTATTGTAATTAACATTAAAACTTACTAAGTATGTTTTTTTAAATATTTAACTGCCTTAGACTTTACCTTTTATATTGATAGACGTTGTAAATTTTAATTTTATCATAATTACTTTCTATTTATTTATTTATTTATAAATATACACCAACTTCAATTTGGTTCTAATTTAAATTTCCACTTTTACATATAAACACTTGAACTCAACTTTTGTTAATAGTCTTGTACTAAATTGGGATTAAACTTACAAAGAAGAAGTTTCTTTAATTGCTTTTGTTTTTCAAATCATAATAGTCTATTAGTTTTAACTTTATAAATCAGTTTTCCAGAAATGTAATAACTTTAGAATTAAGAAAATAAATAAATAATTTTTTTTCTAACCTTTTAAATACTACTTTCTGATTAAAACAGAATTACAACAATGAAAGAAGAACATGAATGAATGAATTTAAGACAAATAGATTGCATCTAGTTTGACAGGAATAACTATTTATAAAATTATGGGACTTTAAGAAATAATCAAAATGCAACCAAAGCTTATGACATTTGTGAATAAAACCAATAAAAAAATAAATTTAATTGAAACAAACTTAAATTGTTAATATTTATTTACTACAAAAAAAAAGGACCATAGAATAATATTAAATTTCACAATATACATTTATAAAAGAGGTAAAATTTAGGAACTTGAATACAATTTTTTTTTCACTTTTATTCAATAAAATTTATATTTTTGAACAAACCAAAAGTATATAGTTTCAAAAGAAAAGTTCCAAATTCATTAAAGAATAAGAAAATTTATATATAGTGCATTTAAGTAAATTTATTATGAGTTTTATAAGTGAAAACCATCTCCATCAACTTCTCCTTTAACATAGTAAATAACCCCTTCTATTAAGATAGTCTCCCAATATGTTAACCCTATTAAAGGGCTACAGTTTGTATCTGTCCTAAAGCATTCCCAACATCATAATTATGAATCAACAACACCACTTTGGTCAAACCAGTGTGTTCAATAGTCAAATGTAATGGGTCAAGGGAAAAAGGATACTAAATAAATTCTTACTTGTTATTATTAATCCTATCTTAATTATTTTAATTACCCATTTGATTATGCTAACTAATTGATTAGGATGTCAAATTCACACTTGAGTTTCTTTCACATTCTTTCACATTATATGCAATGAAACAATGGATTCATGGTACAAGTAAAAGTAGTTTTTTTTTTTTTAAAATGTGATGATTATTAGTTTGAAGATTTTTTTTCTACAAAGTAAAATTTAAACATAAAAATTTATATTAAATATAAATTCTGACTAAAAATATCAATTCATTGAATTAAGTAATATTTTGTTATTTAAATTCTGTGAATAAATATAATTAAATCAGCAAGCGGAGTGGAATCTTTTATAAATTATTATACAGGGTCAATGTTGATAATTAGTCTCACTCCTTTTATAATAAGATGATAATTTAATAAATTTTTCATGCGACTCATAATGTTTTGATTAAGTATATATTCATGCAAGAACACAATATGTATACTCATCACATCAATCAATTGTACTGTTTTTCTAACATATGTTAGTTATGAACAAAGTGAATCTATATTTATATTAATAATATAATTATTTTCTTAAAAAATACAAAATTGATGAGAGATGATCACGAGACTTTTACTCACTCTTAGTAAATTGTACATGTTTATTGTATAAATATATTTTTTTAACATGTATTATACACATACTTAGGGTAGTAGTGCATGTGTAGTATGATTTAGGGAGATTAATAAAATGAAAAAATGGAAATCAAAAGCACATGACCATCATATTAATATATTATTAATAACAATAGAGATAATTAAAAAATTTAAGGAGCACATGACCTCCTAGGCTACCTTATTATTTTTTTATTTTCTAAGCACATGATGCTCCTATATGGAAAATATAGTGTTTTTGTCATCTTGCATTTTTTTTTATTTGGTAAGATCTTTGCATAAATATAAAATTTTTTGTTCAAAAAAAAATGCTAATTCTTCAACTAACTTTTAGTCAAATTGACCAAAGACATATCTTTATCACTGTCATAGCACCTATCTGTCTACCTATAAAATAGAGGTGGAGAAGGGTATTAAGTGCAATTTATCTTTTTGTATAATTTTTAATTTTTATCAGTGTATTCTAATAGTGCACTGAGGACACTACTTAAGAAAATAAAATAAAATAAAAAAGTATATATATTCTCATGTAGTTTTTTATGTGTATTTTCACATGATTTTCAATAAAATGTAACTCATTCTTTTCAATTTTATTCATCTATTTTAATTAACAGTTACATTTAAAAAAAATACTGAACATATTATTTTCATGAATATAACATTTACTTATGTTGATTAATTTGATTATATGTAATGGAATAGCATTATTTGTCTATTAATATTGAAATATTTCTTTTCTGATATTATATTTAATAGTGCATTATATTTTATAATAGAAATTTTAAATATATAGCCATGTTGTTTAACCTGAATATATGATATGTAATACAAAATGTCCTAGTCCATTTTTTGAACTATACTAATCATAGTATTTATTAAACATAATAAATCTAATCTCTCTATATATACGTATTAATATTGCATCAAAATTTTATTACTTTTATTATTACTTGAAATAATTATCAAACAGGAAATTTCACTTACAATACCCTAATCACGATCTTTGACAAATATAATATATTTATTAAATTTTGTAAATTTAAAATATATTTTAATTCTTTGAAAAAGTATTCGTATTATTATTTGAAGTAATCAAAAGTTAATACGTACATGTTCTAAAAATGAAATTTTAATATATATATATATATATATATATATATATATATATATATTATTTTAATATTAGTAACCTATCTCTTATTTTATATATAATTATTTTGTAATTTTACTATGTTTAGTAATACAATGCTTA